TCGGCGGCTCGGCAGCGCAGCGGCAGTGGCGGCTCGGCAGCGCAGCGGCAGTGGCGGCTCGGCGGCTCGGCAGCTCGGCGGCACCGGCGGCTCGGAGGCTTCTGCAGCTCAGCGGCAGCGGCGGCTCACTGACCTTGGTGAGCGGCCGAGCTCTGCACCGACCTTGTTCACTGACAACAAGGCGACGATTCTCCTCTGTCGAGAGCCTCGACTGGAGAGCAGAGTGAAGCACATCAACGTCAGGTACTTTCTTTTGCGAGAGTTGCAGAGGCGTGGACATGCTCGCTTTGACTTTATGGAGTCCGAGGCCAACACTGCAGACATCTTCACCAAGGCCCTTCCGCCTTGTGACCACCATAGGTATTGTGTGCAGTTAGGTCTCGTAGACACGGGTTCTCGTCTTGTGTAGTCTTGTGTTCTCTGCTTGCTTTGTTTGTACGCTTTGCATATACCTCTGTAAACTCTTGGACTGACCTTCTGGCTCTTTTGCTTGTGCTCAGACTGTGTGGTGACGTTGTGATCCACCCTGAGCTTTGTTTCTTTGTGACTGGTCTTGTGACCGTACGGTTTTGGTTTTGCTTGACACCCCTCACTTAGGCTATGGGGGTGTGTCAAATGTTGTAGCCTTTAGTGATGTGTGTCATATGGGGTACAGCAGTTAGGGTTAGGTTTATGTACCCCAACCAACCATAGTCAATGCATCATTTAGTTTTTGACAATAAGGTCTTTACAAGACATCATTGTCTTCCTTCCACTTGGCTTGTCTTATCCTATCCACAACAATCTTCATTCATAGCAACACTTGCTAGCATTCTGCTTCTGGAATATGTACTTGCTTTATCGTGCGTATTAGTGGTGGGGTTCCGCTTGAGTAAAAAGACAGATGTGTGATATCTTCTGGTGAAGTGTGTGCAAGCTTGAATGGACCGGTTCAATTTTGAACGACTTGCGCACTCTGGAAAAAGAAGTGGAAGAGTCCTTGCCATTGAGTGTGGGTTCTATAGTGTGTGGAGTGCCATTGGTGGTGAGGTTGTGTGGAATGGAGTGCCGTTGGTGGTGAGGTTGTGTGCAGTGTAGGAGTGGGTTAGTTAGTTGTGTGGGTTGTACCGTGGGTATTGTAGTGTCCGGTTTGTGGTGTGTGATTACCGGTACATGATTACCGTACCGGCATAAACAAGCATACCACAGTCGTAGCAGGTCAGTTTCCCGACAGCAAGCACAGTTGCATGTGAGCGGGCATTCTACCCCTCCATTCTCATCTCTTCCTCTTGGCTTCACACCAGCTTTGCTTTATGTACAAGACATGCACGTCACTTGCTATCAGTATCTCTCACCCTCATCCCACTAGCATCACTCAATGCAGCTATCACGTGCCGCATCGTGGGGAGCGTGTCCCGCACACTAGGCAGGTGGAACGGCGCTCGCTGTGTCCTCTCAAACAGCCATGGAGTCAAAACACGCTTGAACTCATCAAAGCTAGTGGCCAGTAGTGCTTCCCAATCCACCTGTTGTGGTTTGGTCAGGGGTGGAGTGGGGTGAAGAAGGATATGCTGAGTCAGCCACCGATTCACGTGCAGAAGCGGAAAGGTGAAAACAAAGGCTCCACCAGCACCATTTAGAAGCGAGAAGAAGGGGATGGATTTGATGCAAAAATGTTGCTCGAACAGCAGCAATTGGAATGAGACCTGGGAGAGGAGACCTGGGAGAGGAAGGAAGGAGGCGGTACGGGGTCCTATGCAGCATCGACTCACCAGGAGGTCTCGAGGAACATGCGTAGTGGTTTGCATGTCAGCAGCCATGGAGAGGCCGAGGATGGACATGAGACCCACCATGGCCGACCCGCGAGACAGCGGCATCAGCTGGAACCTGCGGATCTCAGCGTGGGATGTGCGCACAGGTTGAGCATACAAAGAACGTGGGAGTGGGGAATAGGAATCGGTGAGAGGTGTGAGCACACAGAGTGGTGTACGGTGGAGGCGGGAGGTGTGAATAACGAGGACGATGAGATGGGTTTGAGTGTGGATAACAAGGGTTTTGACGGCGCGGTGTGCTGGGACAGCTGCAACAATAAGTAGCTGGATGGCTGGGCGAGGACAGGTCGGGGTTTGGAAGGAGCGGCAAGTGCGCAGCAGTAGGTAAAACGGGGCCACCACCCGTTACACAGAGCAGTAGTAAGCAATGGCGAGGATCTGATCTGATCTGGGGTGCACTGGCGATACGCATACAGGCTGGCGGCAGGCGGACCCACCAGTAGTAAGCGATGGTGAGGATCTGATCCTGGATGCGCTGGCATATCCATACCGAGCGTTGTTTTTTTTTCCTTTTGTTTTGTGTGTGTGTGTGTGTGTGTGTGTGTGTGTGTGTGTTGTGTGTGTGTGTGTGTGTGTGCAGGCGCACGTGTGTGTGTGTGTGTGTGTGTGTGCGTGTGTGTGTGTGTGTGTGTGTTTGTATGCGTGTGTTCCCTTTTTGGGTTGTAATTTAGAAGCGCTTCAATAGTAGGCGATGGTGAAAATCTGATCGTGTATGCTCTGGTGATATCCATACAGGTGGCCAGCAGGCAGACCCACCATTAATAAGTGATGGCAATGATCTGATCTTGGATGCGCTGGTGGTACGCGTGTGGGCAGTCTCTGAGAATGAAAAAAAGAAGAAAAAAACGCACTAAAGGATACCCAAGTTGCCGGGATGGTGTCAGGAGGACCCACCAGTAGTAAGCGATGGCGATGATCTGATCCTGGATGCGCTCGCGGTACGCGTGTGGTGAAGTGGCCTTGGTGCGGTGGTCCAGTGCGGCCGCCATGAAGCCCTGCCACGCTGCTGTGAGCTCTGAGTCTAATGCACTCCAGCGCGCTGCGTCGATTGGGGTCACCGTGTCAAAGTCCACTGCTAAGGGACTGGTGGCGGAGGGAGGGAGGGGGGAACGGGGTGTGTGATGGGATGAGAACTGGTGCGGCGGTCCAGTGCGGCCTCCATGAATCCCTGCCACGCCGCTGTGAGCTCCGAATCAAATGCGTTCCACCGCGCCGAGTCCACTGTGGTGAACGTGTCAAAGTCCATTGCCAATGGGCTGGGAGAGGGGGGGGTTGATGGGTGAAAGCGATGTGAATATGAGAGGAGAGTGGGGAACCGCAGTCCACCTCCCCTGGTCTACTTTGGTGAACGTGTCAAAGTCCATTGCCAACGGGCTGGGAGAAAAGGGGGGGGGAAGATGATGGGGTGGTGATGAAGTGATTGGTAGAGGAGAGGAGAAAGGGAACAGGTAAGGAGAAGAGGGAAAGGCGAGGATTCGAGTATACAGCATGTGTGCATGTGTGTTGTGTATATGTCCACGTGTGCATGTGTGCATGTGTGCATGGCGTGTGCAGGAACCACATGACTCACCGTTTTTGTAATCTAAACTCTGTGCCGCCCATATCTTTCCTGCAACGGAGGGTGGGCGGGGAGGGGCAATCAATGAGTATTAAGAGCAGCTGGCATGGGAGGTAACGGGAAGGGTGCAGATGAGAGCATGAAAGCATCTTGAGCATGAAAGCATCTTGAGCATGAAAGCATCTTGAGCATGAAAGCATCTTGAGCATGAAAGCATCTTGAGCATGAAAGCATCTTGAGCATGAAAGCATCTTGAGCATGAAAGCAGATTGATCATGAAAGCATCTTGAGCATGAAAGCATCTTGAGCATGAAAGCATCTTGAGCATGAAAGCATCTTGAGCATGAAAGCATCTTGAGCATGAAAGCATCTTGAGCATGAAAGCATTTTGAGCGTGAAAGCATTTTGAGCGTGAAAGCATCTTGAGCATGAAAGCATCTTGAGCATGAAAGCATCTTGAGCATGAAAGCATCTTGAGCATGAAAGCATCTTGAGCATGAAAGCATCTTGAGCATGAAAGCATCTTGAGCATGAAAGCATCTTGAGCATGAAAGCATCTTGAGCATGAAAGCATCTTGAGCATGAAAGCATCTTGAGCATGAAAGCATCTTGAGCATGAAAGCATCCTGGGAATGCCTGGCTGTAGCATGGCAAGCGCACTAACCCTGGGAATGCCCGGCTGTAGCATGGCAGACGCACGTAGAAGTCCCGGCCAATCACGTTGAAGAGCCCCTCGTGATCCTCCGCTGCCTCCAGCTGTTGGAATGTTCAGCGAATGTTGAGGGAGAATTGGTGGTAGCACTTTAGTCCCACTGTCAAACCAATCACACTGAACAGCCCACCATGACCCTCATGAGGAGATGGGGAACATGGGGGCATGGGGCCAATGGACCATGGGGGCATGGGGCCAATGGGCCATGGGGAGCATGGGGCCAATGGGCCATGGGGGGCATGGCAGGCATGTGAAAGGGTGGTATGGTTGAGTTGAGAGCACACACCTGGGCGCCGAAGGTGGAGCGAGGCACGTCGAAAGGCTGGTGCGAGTCAGCATCAAACGCCTTCTCTGACTGCAGCAGGCCCCGCCTTGTGACGTTCACCGCCCTGTGACAGAAGGGAAGGGAGGGACGGGAAAGAAAGGAGGGAGGGAAGGGAGGGATGGAAGGCGGAAGAGTGGAGCGAGGCACGTCAAACGCCCTCTCTGACTGCAGCAGGCCCCGCCTTGTGATGCTTACCGCCCTCTGATGCTCACCGCCCTGTGATGGGGACAGAGGCAGAGAAGAAAGGGCAGGGAGGAAAGGAAGAGGGCATGGAGGCGAGGGACGGAAGGCGCATGGGAGAAGGGTGGCTTCTGAGTTGAATCAAGGTCACCTCGGCATCAACCGCCCTCTCTAATTGCAGCAGACATTGCCTCGTGATGTTGACTACCCTGTGATGGAAGGGGATGGACGGATAGAACAGGGCAACGGTAAGGGTTTTTATTCTTGTATAACCAGCCGGAGAATGGTGATGTGAGCTGGGACGACACGGCACAAGGCAACTCGCTTGAGACAGACAGGGAAGCCACTCACTTGGGGTAGATGGCGAGGCGAGCGGTGTCCATCACCCAGGTGAAGATGGGTGTGCCAGTGAAGATGGGTGTGCCAGTGAAGATGGGTGTGCCAGTGAAGATGGGTGTGCCAGTGAAGATGGGTGTGCCAGTGAAGATGGGTGTGCCAGTGAAGATGGGTGTGCCAGTGAAGATGGGTGTGCCAGTGAAGATGGGTGTGCCAGTGAAGATGGGTGTGCCAGTGAAGATGGGTGTGCCAGTGAAGATGGGTGTGCCAGTGAAGATGGGTGTGCCAGTGAAGATGGGTGTGCCAGTGAAGATGGGTGTGCCAGTGAAGATGGGTGTGCCAGTGAAGATGGGTGTGCCAGTGAAGATGGGTGTGCCAGTGAAGATGGGTGTGCCAGTGAAGATGGGTGTGCCAGTGAAGATGGGTGTGCCAGTGAAGATGGGTGTGCCAGTGAAGATGGGTGTGCCAGTGAAGATGGGTGTGCCAGTGAAGATGGGTGTGCCAGTGAAGATGGGTGTGCCAGTGAAGATGGGTGTGCCAGTGAAGATGGGTGTGCCAGTGCGATAGCGCATGTCTTGCTTCCAGCGCTGCCCCTGGCTGAACGCCTTCCATGCCATGGGCTCCATGGCCTCTGACACCTGTCTGTCTCCACGCCACCAGTCAGACTCTAAACTCACTTGGGATAGACGGCGAGGTATCGAGCAGTGCCCATGACCCAGGTGAAGATGGGTGTGCCGGTGCGATACACCATGTCCGTCGGCCATCTCTGCCCCTGGCTAACGCCTTCCATGCAATGGGCTCCATGGCGTCTGACACCTGCCTCCACGCCACCAGCACTCGGAACATGTGCCGCCAGCTCGTCACCAGGTCAGATCGGTCCAACAGACTCCGCCCACCCCCACGGCTGCTGCTGCTGCCACCGCCACTGCTGCTGTCAGTGCTGCTTTCCTCAGTGCCTTGAGCCACGCTGCTGCCACCGCCGCCACTGCTGCTTTGACGGCTGCGGCCAGTGCGCTGCCCGCCCTGCCTCTGCTGCTGCGCCTCCTCAAGCTGCTCCTGCCACAGCTGCCGCCCCCCACTCGCCCCGTCGGCCCCACCTGCCCCACCGTCCTCATCCCCCCCATCAGCCCCAAAGAGCAAAGGGGCGATGCGCATCTGATCCGCAATGAGCAGCAGCGTGCGCCTCACCTGCTGCATCACGTCCAGGGCTGCCAGCCCTGCCATGCGCAGCTGACGGGGTGGATGGGGGAAGAGAAGGAGAGGAGGGAGCCTGAGTTGCGTGGTCACAGGGGCAACGCGGGGAGCAGATGGTGCGGCTGCAGGCGTTGCATGCACAGAGGTTGGAACTTGACAACACACTATGCCACTGCTTGTCGAACATGTACGCTTTAAGTCGACTCAGAACTCACCTCACAATCAGTATCATTCTGACTGTGCCACGCCTGTGCCATGCCATGCCATGCGGACCTGCTGGGGTGCAGCATGCCATACCACGACAAACCATGCCACGCCATGACATGCCATGTCATGCCTGCCATGCCAGGCGCTCCTGCTGGGTGTTATGCAGCATGCCATCGGTGTCGTAGTGAGTGCTAGCACCAATCACGTCCGCTACGACAAGCATTATCATGCCATGTCATGCCATGCGCACCTGCTGGGTGTTATGCAGCATGCCATCGGTGTCATAGTGAGTGCGAGCACCAATCACGTCCGCCGCTTCCACCAGCTGCACTGCCGCCCCTGACAGGCGCGGCAGTCGCTGCCACGTGGCAGCTTGCAACTGGTGCTCGGGGATCGCCAGCGGGACGAAGCCTGGCAGCTCCTCCGGCCGGCCCCCCGTCGCCCACTTGTCCTGGCGCCCATGGGGCGAGAAGAAGGGGGAGAGGGAGGTGCAGAAGGGGTGAGGGGAGAGGGGGAAGGGGAGAGGTGGGGAGGAGAGGGGACGAGAAGGAAGGTGTGGGGATGATTAGGGGAATTGGGCTATTGAAATGAAGACCGTGGGAAAGCGGTAAGCTTGATAGCAGAGGTAAACACTTGCCCGTCAAGCTTGACAGAAGGGCAAGCCTTCCATTCCACCACCCCCATCACACGTCCCTGACGCCTTGCCCACCCTCCTCCCTTTCTCACCCTTCTCTCCCTCTCCCGCTCACACTGTTCTCTCGCCCTCGCCCTCTCACCCGCCACTCCTCGTCAAGGTCGTCGTCAATTCGGAAGGCACAGAAGGGCTGGGCGAGGAGGGACACGGTGTAGGCCAGCAGCTGGCGCTGAAAGAAGGTCCTGCCTCGGTGTTCTCTCCCTCTCACTTTCACTCTGTCTTTCCTCTCACGCGCGCCCTGTCTCTCACCCCCCACTCTCACCCGCCACTCCTCGTCAAGGTCGTCATCAATGCGGAAGGCAGAGAAGGGCTGGTCGAGGCGCAACACCGTGTAGGCCAGCAGGTGGCGCTGAAAGAAGGTCCTGTCGCGGTATGATGTCTGCTCATCCGGTTAAACGGGTGAGGAGAGCAGCTCGTCGAATAGCCGCATCTGGTGGGGGTGGGGAGGCACGGGGCAGAAGGTGAGTGCATAAGATGACACGGTGTAGGCCAGCAGGTGGCGCTCGAACAAGGTCCTCCTGTGGCGGTACGATGCCTGCTCGTTGGGCTGGACGGGCGATGACAGCAGCTCGTCGTAGGGAGGGAGGGGAGAAGAGCATGTCACAGCTGGTGTGCACATGGCATGGTGCGGCGAGCAGGTGGCGCTGGAACAAGGTCCTCCTGTGGCAGTATGATGCCTGCTTGTTGGGCTGGACGGGCGAGAAGAGCAGGTCGTCGTACAGACGCATCTGCTGGGGTGAGTGTCAGGGAGGGAGGGGAGACGAGCATGTGGCAGGTGGTGTGTACATGGCATGGTATGTACATGGCATGGTGTAGGTGATGGAAGAAGGTTCTGTCGCTGTATGACGACTGCTCGCCGGACGCATCTGGTGGGGTGAGTGTCAGGGAGGGGAGTCGAGCAAGTAGCAGACGGTGAGTGCATGGCATGTCGTCGAATGGTATGGTATCGCATGGCATGATGGCATGGCATGGCATGGCATGGCATGGCATGGCATGGCATGGCAGGGCATGACGTGACGTGGCGTAACATTGCTGCATGTGGGGGAGAGGAGAGGGAGGTCGGATGACTCACAGCAGCAGCATGTTCGCCCAGCACGTGCAGGCTGGAGGCCTTAGCGTGCATGATCTCCAGGTCGCCTGGGAATGCCTTCAGCCCCGCGTCTGCCATGGGAATGACTCGGCGAGTCGCACATGCACACATAACACCACATAGGTGGGCCAGGGCACAGGAGACGAGACAAGGTGTGGGCGAGGAGAGGGAGAGGGAGGGAAAACATACAGAGCATTTCAAGGGTGGAATTTGAGACGAGATGATGTGGGCGGAGGGGTGGAGATGTGGAGGGTTAAAGGGGTGGAGGGGTGGAGGGTGGAGGGTTGGAGGGTGGAGGGTTGGAGGGGTGGAGGGGGGAAGGGGTGGAGGGGGGGAGGGGGTGGAGGTGGGGAAGGTGTGGAGGGGGGGAGGGGTGGAGGGAGGGAGGGTGGAGGGGGAGAGGGTGGAGGGTGGATGGTGGAGGGGTGGAGGGATGGAGGGGTGGAGGGTGGAGGGTGGAGGGGTGACCGGTCGGTGGTGGGTGGTGGGTGTTGGGCGGTGGGCGGTGGGCGGTGGGCGATGGGCGGTGGGTGGTGGGTGGTGGATGCTCACCAGTGATTTCTCAGCAGTCGCTTCTGCAGCACGAGAGAGAGAGAAAGAGTGAGAGAGAGAAAGGTGAGAAAGAGAGAGAAAGAGTGTGTAAGCCAATATAAGCGAGTGAAACTCAAGGGAGGGCGAGCATGTGCGAGGGAGGGAAGGAAGGCAGAAGAATGGACAGAGTGACGGAGCAGCAGAGGACCTTGGAGGGGGGGAGGGTGGAGGGGGGGAGGGTGGAGGGGTGGAGGGGTGGAGCGGTGGAGGGGTGTGGATGGTGGGTGGTGGGTGGTGGGTGGTGGGTGGTGGGTGGTGGGTGGTGGATGCTCACCAGTGATCTCCCAGCAGTCGCTTCTGCAGCACGAGGTTGTGATGCGTCTCTAGTATCCTGCCATGGAAGTGGATTCGTAGTGAGAGAGAGAAAGAGTGAGTAAGCCAATATAAGCGAGTGAAACTAAAGGGAGGGCGAGCATGTGCGAGGGAGGGAAGGAAGGCAGAAGAATGGACTGACTGACGGAGCATGAGAGACAAACAGACTCTGAAAGAGAGGGTCCGAGAGGGAAGGAAGAGAGGCAGAGAGGCGGGGAGGCAGCGAGGGAAGCTTTGCAGATCAGATCAGGGCAGAGAAGCAAAGAGCAAAGAAGAGCAGAGAAGAGAACGGACTGTCCGAGCTGGAGAGCAGGAATTCCCTCTAAGCCTGGTCCGTGTTGACTTTTGAGTCAGACCCAAAAGTCAAGCAGAGTACATACTGTCCGAGCGGGAGGCAGCGAGGGAGGGCGTGAGGATGAGGGCAGAGAAGCAACTAGCAGAGAAGAGCAGAGCAGAGCAGAGCAGAGCAGAGAAGAGCAGAGCAGAGCAGAGCAGAGCAGAGCAGAGCAGAGCGGAGCAGAGCAGGCAGAGAAGAGCAGAGCAGGCAGAGCAGAGCAGAGCAGAGCAGAGCAGAGCAGAGCAGAGCAGGGCAGAGCAGAGCAGAGCAGAGCAGAGCAGAGCAGAGCAGAGCAGAGAAGAGCAGAGCAGAGCAGGGCAGAGCAGAGCAGAGCAGAGCAGAGCAGAGCAGAGCAGAGCAGAGCAGAGCAGAGCAGGGCAGAGCAGAGCAGAGCAGAGCAGAGCAGGGCAGAGCAGAGCAGAGCAGAGCAGGGCAGAGCAGAGGAGAGCGGAGCAGGGCAGAGCAGGCAGAGCAGAGCACATACTGTCCGAGCTGGAGTGAGAGCAGGAGGTCCCTCTCAGCCTGGTCGGTCTCCCCCAGCAGGCGGTGCAGGCGCCCCTTCTCCTTGCGCAGGTGCGCATCCCCTGGGAGCAGCTCCACCGCCCGTGCCAGGTACGGCTGTGCCGGTCGGAACTGGTTCGACCGCACCAATGCAATTCCCTGGGGAGGGAACGAGGAAAAGTGGGGAAAGAGGGGGGAGAGTGGGGGAGTGGGGAGGAGGAAGAAGTGGGGTATGGGGGGATGGGAGGGGGGGAAAGGGGCATGGCTGTAGCAGGGAGGCAGTAGGGAGGGCGGCTGGGAGAAGCGGTGCTGAGAGGCACAGGAGGAGAAGGCGTGGGTGTAGCGGAACAATGGCTGGAGTGGGATGACCTGGCAGTCCACCTGGGATGCGCTGCGCTGGGCTGGACTGCTTCTCTCGAGTCTCACCACAGCTCGGTTGAGGTCGGCGTCGTTCGGCAGCATGTGCAGCGCGGGCAGCAGGTCTTTGAGAGAGTCCTTGAAGCGGTAGAAGTTGAACGCGCTCAGCCCTGCGATAAGGGGGTGAAGGGGGGAGGGGGGGGGGGAAAGGGAGGGGGGAGGGGAAGGGGGAAGTTGGGGGGGAAATGGGAAGAAGGAAAGGGGGGCAGCAGGTCTTTGAGGGC